TTTTTTTTCTACCAAGAGAAAATACATATGATGGATATCTATTCTGCAATATATAACGATGATAATCTCTACTCTACTAATATCCAGAACATTTCAAAGTTTTACAAAAGCCAGATAACCAAACAGATAGTCAAATCTAGAATTGTCACTTAGAATTTTAGAAAAAAACAAAACTTTACTTTTTCATTACGTACAACTCGGACATCAACCTTTTTTCACATAAGACAATATGGTAAACCAAGTCAAATATTTAGAAAATGAGACATCTACAAGCTATCTACGACAGATTTTAGATGAACTAACTCATCGAGGGTGTGGGGTGTGGGTGGGGTGTGGGTGTGGGTGTGGATGGGTGTGGGTGTACTTGTGAATATTTCATTAACCCACACCCAAACCCACACCCACACACCCACACCCACACCCACACCCACACCCACACCCACACCCACCCCACACCCACCCCACACCCACACCCACACCCTAAAAATTCTGAGCAAGTTCTTGCAATTACGCTTTTTTTCTTGTTTTATGATCATTTTACTGAACTTTCAGTCTATTACACAAGGAATTACGATCGGAAATTCTCTCCAACAATAGCTCTTATGGTTCTTATGATATCCCGAAAGTTTCAGTTCAAATAGATGATTTCTTCTTACGATATCGTATACCTAAAAACTGCACTATTTTTGTAGCTCTTGTATGAAAGTACCGACTTTTTTTTGCGAACATATTATCTCAGTAGGGAAACATACGTTTGAGCTGCAACTTTGAGAATATCATAAGGACCATGAAAGCTATCGTTGGAGGGAATTTCAGGTCGACATTCCTTGTTGTGATATTCTGCAGTAAGCTGAAAGTTCAGCAAAACGACCGTAACTCGCAAAGAAACGCCCTATCGCACAAACCCTTTCAGGATTTTTATCTACACTACTCAAGATTGTAAGTGAATCCGATGTGGTCCTATCAAAAAAACGGAGTTATCCAGAATAGAAAACCTTTCGAATACATGCCTAGATGTTCTATCTGTAGTAAAAACTTCAGACAGATAGATTGTTTTTATACGATCGAAAATAAACATTTTATTTCAAGATTTGCACAACAAATGTTTGATTTTTAATTTATTTATTATATATATATATATAGATGTAAATCAATTGAATATCCACAAGATTTACCAACAGCATCAGTTGTAATAGTATTTAAAAATGAACGTTGGTCACCAGTTCTTCGAACAGTTTATTCTGTCCTTAATCGCTCACTAAAACATTTACTTAAAGAAGTTATTTTAGTTGATGATCAATCAGACATTGGTAAAAATGAGTTTTGTTTTTTTTTGATTTTGATAAAAATAAATTCTTGGGTTTTTTTTTGTCTTAATTATTTAGAGGAAATGGGTCAACGTTTAGATGATTATTGTGAAGAATATTTTGGAGATTTTGTACGTATTTTACGAGCACCAGCAAGACTTGGATTAATTAAAGCAAAAAATTATGGTGCAAGAAATGGTGAACTTTTGCTTTATTAACAAAAAGCACATTCATTGTTTATCTTTTCTAGCTACTGGAGATGTTGTTGTGTTTCTCGATGCACATTGTGAAGCAAATGCTGGATGGTAAATAGATAAGATTAAAAAAAAAATAAAATAAAAATTTATTTAAACAAAAAAAAAATAAAACCTCTAGGCTTGAACCAATAGTTTATCGTATTCAACAAAAACGCACAGCTATACTTTGTCCTATAATTGATTTAATAAATAGTCATAATTTATCATATCATCGAGGTTTTCTTAATGCAATTGGAACATTTACATGGTCACTTCATTTTTCTTGGTCTAATATTTTTTCTCGTATTCACAAGATGCGAAAATCATTAATTGATCCTTTCTCGTAGTTTATGTTTTTTTTCTATTTGCTTTGTTTTTTTTTTTGGAATGGTGATTGGGATTTTTGTTTTTGTTTTTGTTTTTATAGGTTAGAACCACTTTTGCTTCGAATTAAAGAAAAACGTTCAGCTATTTTATGTCCGGGTATAGATATGATTAGTGATCAAGATATGGCTGATGGTGTAAGTCATGTTGAGAAATATAATTTGGATCTTGGTTTCTTTTTTTTTCTGTATATTTCGAATTTTAAAGGGCACAGGTGATGGTAGTGTAGGTGGTTTTTGGTGGTCATTACATTTTAATTGGATACCGATTCCAGCTCGTATACGTAATGCAAAAAAAAACAAGAGTTGATCCGTATCCGTGCGTAGTTTAAGTTGCTTTTGCTTGAAGAATTTTTGTTTTTTTTTTGTATTGAATAAATTTTATTTTTTAATTTTTTCTTTAGATCACCAACAATGGCTGGTGGTCTTTTAGCGGCACATAGAGAGTATTTCTTTGAAATTGGTGGTTATGGTAAGAAATATTAAAATATGAATTAGACAAAAAAAAAAATAACGAATTTTTATGTTTTCTTTTTCTTATTTAGATGACGATATGGAAGTAAGATTTATTGATTTTATTCTTCTTCGATGGTTTCTTTTAATAAGAATAATAATAGATTTGTTATTTCATGACAGAAAATGTCTTATGAATTTTTCATAGCTAATCAATGTGTATCTAATGAGGGAAGGGTTTCCAACTGAAGGACGTCATTCGATTCCATATTATGACTATGAGGTAGGTCTCTATGAGGCTAAGAAAAGCCTAAAAGGATTCGTATTCATGGCCTATTGGTAAAGAGTTATGGCTGTTTTACTGAATTTTGAACCTGTGACAAGGGATTTTTGAAAATATCGGATTAAAGAATTTCGACCTGAAATTTTGCTCATAGATAGGTCTAATAGTCATTAGAATTGTCTGAAAGTTTCAGCTAAAACGAATGTTCTTTTCTCGAGATATTGAATTGTCAAATAAATTCGGTTTTTGTGACCTTTCTATGAAAAGTGAATATTTTTTGACAATTCAATATCTCGAGAAAGGAACATTTGTTTTGGCTGAAACTTTCAGACAATTCTAATGACTATTAGACCCATCTATGGGCAAAATTCCTGGTCGAAATTCTTTAATTTGATCTTTTCGAAAATCCGTTGCCACAATGCCAAAATTCAGTAAAACGGTCATAACTCTTTACCAATAGGGCATGAATACGAATCCTTTTAGGCTTTTCTTAGCCTCATAGAGACCTACCTCATAGTCATAATATGGAGTCGAATGGTGGCCTTAAATTGGGGACCTTCCCTCGTAAGACATTTAAAAAAAATCATAGATTCAAATTCTATATCAATCAAACGAATATTTTCTTCATTATGCTAAGGAATAGAAACTGGCGGTATTTTTTAAGTCGCTTCTATTCTTGCTGGACAATAGCTAGAGTCCGCCGAGTTCAAAATTCGATTATAAGGTTTTGATCAACAAATATAATATATATATATGTAGGTTTTCCATTTAATTATGTACGGATTATCGAGTTTTATTACATACCTTTGAAATGTTAACAGGGTGTACTATCTTCATCGTGTGACACTCTTCATTGACATCTTAGCAGTACGCAAAAGAACTTGATAATGCATAGACTATTAGAGAGAGGGAAAGTCTTTTTCCACTAGTCTCATATTCGTATCTCGTTAGGATCTGCATAGTGCACGTTGTCCCAATTGAAAAGTAATGAGTTTGTTGGCGAACTTTCCTCGTTAGTTAACATAAATTTAGATGAACCATTGGAAAAAGAAAATCTATCCCACTCCAGTATTACACTTTTTACAAATAACTTATGCACATACTAATATTGATTTATTTATTTTTCATAAATGATTTTTCTCATTTGAATATAATTTTCTTTTCTTTGATGTCATTGAAATATTGAGCAAAAAATAAATATATTTACGTGTGGGGTGGTGAAAATCTTGAAATATCATTTCGTGTATGGATGTGTGGTGGTAGTCTTGAATTTGTTCCATGTTCTCGTGTTGGTCATATATTTCGACCAGGTCATCCATATAATATGACTGGAGAAAAAGGTACATATTCAATATTTGAATTATTACAAAAGAAGAAAAAAAAAAATTTTTTTTTTTCTTCTTGATTTTTCTATTTAAGGTAAAGGTGATGTACATGGCCGAAATTCAATGCGACTTGCTGAAGTATGGATGGATGATTATAAACGTTTTTATTATATGCATAGACATGATTTAAAAGTAAAAGAATCTATAATTTTAATCAAAAAAAAAAATAAGAAAAACTTATATTTTTGTTTTTCTTTGTAGGGTAAAGATTATGGTGATGTTGAAAGTCGTCGAGAAATTCGTAAACGTTTAAATTGTTATTCATTTAAATGGTATCTTGATAATGTATTTCCTGAAAAATTTATTCTTGATGAAAATGTTCATGCATATGGAGAAGTAAATTAAATTTGAACAAAAAAAAATTTATTTATTTTTTATTTCATAATATTTAAATTTAAAGGTTCGAAATCCATCATCAAGTTTATGTTTGGATACATTAGGTAGAGATGAAAAAGGTTCAATATCATTATCAATATTTTCATGTCAAAATGGTGTATCAGCAAATCAGTATTTTTCATTATCAAAAAATGATCAATTACGTCGTGAAGATACATGTGCAGTTACATCAGGACAAAATTCTGATTCTATGAATGTGATTCTATCTTAATGTGATTATGTTGATAGAAATCAAAAATGGATACATGAAAAAGTAAGAAAAAAAAAATAATTTTTTTTTTGTTTTTTCAATTAAGATTTTATTTATTTATTGAAAGAATGGACTAATTGTTCATCATCCAAGTAAACTTTGTCTTGATGTTGAAGGTCTTTCAAATAATGATCAAGTTAAATTAAAAAAATGTGAACCAAATAAACCATCACAAAGATGGGTATTTGAACATTATTCAACAACTTAATTAAATTATTTCCTCTCAATACATTCCAACCGTCCAAGAAAAAATAAATAAATAAACAGAATGAATTGATAAATATTCCATCATTTTCTATTTTATGATTGTGTTAATAACAGTGTTGCTACTATTTCGTGATAATAGATTTCCATTGACTGTTATTGCTTCTTTTTTCTTTTCTTTTTTTTTTTTTTTAGTTTTATTTGTTTTGTTACTACTTATAATTAAATATTAATAATATCAATATTTTATATTCATATAAAGATAATATCACTATCAATCTAAAAAGAATAATCCGAATTTGGGAATGTTATATTCAATTTTTCTTTTACTTTTGTCTATGGCGATGTAAATAACTGTACGGATAAAACTCCAAATGTTTGTTGTCAGTTCTTATCGAAGTTCATTGTTATAGTTTTGACAACATCAGAAATGCATAAGATCCTGAAAAAACATTTTATTCTTTTTTTAAATATCACATTATAATAATCCACAAACTAGATGAGAATTTCGTTTTCTATATATACAGATTGATTACGTTATTTTTAATAATTTTATTTTTCATATATTTAAACAAAAAACCAGTACAATTATGAACGATATTCGATATGAGACCCTTGAGCATTATATATCATCAAAACCCTTGAAATAATACTTTATCGATATACAGCCAACCTAAAAATTATTGAAAAACCTAAAGCTATCCTTACACTCCCTCAAAATGAGTTTTAGTCCAAGCAAATGCAAATCGCATGAAATACAATGAAATATTCAAATGATTAATTAAATAAAAAGATCGATAAACGTCTTTTACTCTTTTAGTATTAATATACTAAAGCAACTAGAATTTATTAAAATTTCTTAACTTTTTAATAATTAACTAACACAAAATGATATCAAGATGTAGCTTACGTTGTGATAGATAGACCAGTTCGTTAGATTTGTTCCCATGATACAAATGAAATCATAACAAAATGATTTATTTAAATAATAACTTCAACGAATTTTTCATAGTTCATCTCTAATCAAACAATAATTATGATTTTAGTTTTGAATTTGATATTTTAAAATCTTTTCATTATCAATAATAAAAGACAGAGATTGGTTAAGAAAAATCATCTAACGAATATTGTCTTTAATGATCTCAAATAAAGAAAAAAGAAAGAAGAAATTCGAAGAAGAAAAAAAAAAGTTAAACATAATTTTACATCAAACTAAAATTAGTACAATTAATATTTAACATGGAAGTATTTATCATTCTTCTCATTAAAAATGAAGGATTTTATATTAATTGAAAAGAAATTCCTTTTATAAAAATAATAAATTTTCTTTTTCAACTGATTCAAAAATTTTTTGCTTTAAATGTTCTTTTAATAAAAAGTTTGTTTTTGAAATTATGTTTTTCTCTTCTAGTATTATATCTCAACTTTCTCTTATAATTAAACATATGAAATTATCTCGATATGAATATCAAATATCATAGATCATAGTTGAGTTTGTCGATAACTTTCAAAATAAAGTATTTTTATGAAAATTATTTCTGTAGTCGAATAACTATTCCATAAGATTTTTATATTCACAACATGTTAATCAATAGAAGACAACATGTTATTCATATACGAAACAATTATCATATCTTTTAGACCGAAAACAAGAAAACAAAAAGTGGCCTGTTAACAAATGAAAGAATTTTCTTTCTTTTGCTTTGAACTAGAATTTTTATAAGTACTTTCAAATCATAAGTGTTACAATGAAGAACAAAAAATATAAACAAACAAAAATCTAACAACAAAAATAAATAGTTATCTATGTGATTTTAATTAATTACATGAACATAGAATTAATAAATTATATCTTTATTGTTTTAATAAGGATAAGTTTTTCTATTTTATCTTTGAAACCATCAAAATCAGGTGATTCATTTAACTTGTTTATTAAATTTAATAAATCAGAATAAATTTTATTTTTCTTTTCAATATTTTTCCACAATTCCAACGACCACTCTACTTTAAGACAAGTCTCTGGCAATTCTTCAATAGCATTCAACTGATGTTTGACATTATTATAAACCATATATATTATAACATTTAATGCACATGTCCAATCAAATGTTCGTTTATAATGATAAGATCTTGCATATGGTTCAGTCGAAAATGATTTAAGATAACATGTTAATAATTCTTGACTAGCATATGTAATTGTTCCAGAAATGGATGATTCTATTGCCGTTTCATATTTAATGGCAAAACCAAAGTCAATTAATTTCAAACAAATTCCATTAGAATCTAACATCAAATTTTGTGGACGTATATCACGATGTACAATATTAGATTCATATAAACATTGAATTATACCAATAAGTTGTTTCAAGTGAGTTAATTTTAGTGATTTGATACGTTTTAATTGACTTTCAAATATTATAAATCGACCTATATATAAAAGATAATCAACTTATAAAGAGAATTATGTGTTATTTCAATCAGTGTGAAATAAAAAATGCTCGATATAAAATTCTTTTCATTTTTCAATTTACAGTAAATTAGAAATATATAAAATATGGAGGATTGACGATTTAAATAAATAATTTAATAAAATCTTCTATTTAAAAGATATTTTATCTAATCTATTACCTATCAACATTGAAAATTGTTTAATTACAATTTTAGATTTATGTAAAAGTTTAAGTGATAAATATAATTTTAAAATATTTATTAGTTTGGTTTTTTGTGTATTTTTCATTTGTTAATATAGTTAACGATTTTATTTAAAATATTCAATAAATCATATAGAATTTAACGTTGAAGATTTTCTTGAAAAAAAAAGTTTTGATCGATTAGAAAATGATAGTTTTTTTATTTTAACATGTTTATAATTATAAATAATGACATTTAAAAATAAGAAATAGAATCAATTTTAAGATATGATCTAATGTTTGAGAACGATTGTCAAAAAACAAATTCAATCATTTAAATTTTTCTTATAAATCATTAATTTTCAAACTAAAATTTATTTTCTATGAACTTCAAAGTCTAATTGATAGAGTAGGATAAATTTAAAAAATCCAACACTTTCTGTTATTATATTACAACTCTATAGATAATATTATCATCAATCTAAAAAGAAAAATTATACATTTTAAACAAAATTCTATAGATTATTTTTTCGAATATTCTCTCGTGTCAAATTGATTAATATAAATATATTTTGTTTGAATAATATTTTTATTTTAAATATATTTTCTTATCATCATCAATCTTTCTTATTAACTAGAAAAATTATATATCAGCAATCTTCATGGAATATAAACATTTATACTTTTGAACTATCCTATAGGATCAAATTGTTTTTTGTTTTGTCGCATTCTATATGAAGTCATGATACATATGAGTTCATTATTTATTTAATGATATTCATCACACTTTGTGTTTTATAGAAAAAACAAAAATTTCATTTCAAAAGTGATAAAACATGAAAAAAATTAAAAAATATCATTTTCTAATCGATCAAAAGTTTTTTCAACAAAATCTTTAACATTAAATTCTGTATGCGTTATTGAATGTTTTCAATAAAATGATTAATTATATCAACAAATGAGAAATATAAAAAAAAAAAAACTTTTACTTTTATCACTTATCTTTATGTGAAGATATTTATATTATTTGAGCGTAATTTCAAAGAAATCTTCTACTATTATATGAGAAACATAAAAGAAAAAATAATCTTCTCAATAGACATTCTCGGAATAAATAGAGAAGATGATGATGAAAGTTTCTTTTGTGATACAACTTATCGAAGAATTAATCAACGGTAGAAATGTCACTTTTGACATATGAAATTGAATAGAATTCAATATAGACTTTCTTTTTTCGAAGATATAAATTATATTCTTTAAAACAATCACAAAAATCTACTAAAAAGTCGATATAGAAATCATTTTCAAAAAACTAAACTTTAATTAAAAAAAAATAATTGTTTTTTTTTATTCAAACAGCTTGATAGTTTATTAAAAAGAAAATCAAGGCATTTTCATTCAGTTTGTACTTGATAATGTCTTACTATTGCTCAATATTTTGCGAAGATTTCTATGCTGAATTGTTCAATATTTTGTTTAATCAATCTCGAACTTTTATTTTTGGTTATTTCAATATTTTCTATTAATATACAATTAAAATATATTTATATCAGATATCGTTATGAAAATTATTGTACAATATGAAATTTCTCCTAATTATTCATAATCATAAGAATTCTGATAAAAAAAAATATTTCACTTCTTTTTTTAACTATAAAATTCTAAGAAAAATAATTTTCATCATCAATAAATTGAATTTCACACTGATTTTTCTTCTAACTTATTTAATATCTGATCAAGGTGAGAAACATTTGTTTCACTCGAAGTATTTTCCTTGAAATTAAAAAATTTTCTATTCATTTATCTATATTGATCAATAATATTTTTATAAGCCGGTTCATTGAAACAAAATTCTATTGAAGAATTTTGAATTTCACAAATTTAAGATATGATTAAATCTTATTTCTTTATTTTACAATAAAAACAATCGTCTTCTTTTTTTCGATAATCTTTCAATATGTTGAAAATGTTAACAAAAAGATCAATAAACAAATATTACCTTTAGGTGAAAAATTTAGAATATCTTGAAAAAATAAATTAAATTTTTCTAAACCATTCAATTGTTTTAATTCGTTTGTTCTTTGAACTTCATTTTGAAAATATTTTTCATATGAAATATCTTTACATATTTTTATAACACATGGTTTTATATCATTTAAAGAATTATTTGCATTTTTTACTAATAAATAAACCATTGAAGTTAAACCATTTCCCAATTTACTTTCTATATCATATTCATTAACAAGAAAATTATCATAAGGATCTATATTTAATGTTGTATATTCATAAAATTTTTCATTCATTGTTAAAAAGTTTATAAATATACTCCAGGTAACTTCATTTAAATATTTATTTTTCCATTCTTCATCTGTTATGTTCATATCAACAGATTCTTTAGAATAACCACCAAACAAATATAAATTTTGACTTTGATAATAATCATATGAATCCGGTTCAGATCCTTTTTTAACACAGACAAATTTTATTTGTTCATTATTAACGAAAAAACCATAAATCTTGTTACGATTTTTTTGTACATCTAACAATAAATGTAAATAGTGAAGTATTTGTCCACTTGATCCTGTTGGCGAATTATTAGATTTCTTAAATTCACCAACACAAACCATAAAATCTTGTAGAAATTGACGTCCTGTATTAATATTGATATTAACATTTTTATATAAAAAACAACAATCAGGACGAAATTTTTCATTGATACACATTAACTTATGTGTATCGAGATATTTCAATAATGTACAATCATTAAATGAATTTAATAAATCTAATATTAATGTATTCAATGCCACTTGCAAGCCCGATTCGTTTATCTCCAGCATGAATGAAACCTTATTGTGATAATCTCGAATGATTTTTATTGTACTTTCATTTAAATAAACATTACCATTTAAACAAACATTATCATTTAGTTCTTTGTTAATATCCAACGACTGAACATTTCTTATAATTATATTAAAAAAATCATCATGGTCTGATATTAATTTTGCAAGATTATTGATTGATGATGAAGATACTTGATGTTCTATTTTCATTCGTTTTGTTATTTCTCTTTCTTTTTCAATTTCTTTTTCACGTTTTGTTTTTTCTTTTTCAACTGCTACTTCACGTTTTGTTTTTTCTTTTTCAACTGCTACTTTACGTTTTGTTTTTTCTTTTTCAACTGCTACTTCACGTTTTGCTTTTTCCTTTTCAAGAAGTCGTTCTGCTTCCAGAGCTGCTATTTTCAATTTCCATAGTTCCTTTTCATTACTTGTATCAGCACCATCAGCCATTGTTAATTATATGTACATATATAATTATTGTGTTTTTTTTATCTATAAGCGAAAGAGAAAAAAATATATATGACAACAAAGGTAGTGAAACTGAAGTTAAGATTGAAAAAAGATATATATATATTGACTTTTTGAATAAAATCTGTTTGGTAAATATATTTCTAATTTAGATAGATTAAGAGAATTTTTTAAAGAAAATAATAGTGAGTGTAAGTATTAAGTCGACGCTTTTACGGTTCCCTCTTTTTCTTCCACTTCCAATTACAGAGTTTAGTAACAGAGATTAAAGATGTTAAGCGAAATTAATAACAAGAATTAGAACATTCGACAAGTTAAAGCCTTTCTTTAGAAATAAATTTTAAGTAGTGATTAAGAATAAAATAGTAAATATAAACTTACATATTTTACTAGTTAGAAATGTATTAAAACAAAGTTACAAATAATCGACGATGGATAAAAATAATCTAGAAAAAATTAACATTCTTTACATATAAGATAAAAGTTCTTATTGAATCAAGTGAAGGAAAAAAAAATACAATATTACACACATATGTACATCAACAAAATTAAGCAATTTTAGAAAAAGAACAATCAACAAAAGAAATTATCTCGAATCATCATGTTTAATCGATTGTTCAAAAAAAATATTATTTTAAAATATATATTGTGAAGTACACTTCGAGTAGATAAATATTCGTAGTTTTCTAAAGTTTTTTGTTATCTAGTCGTTAGATCGATGCAACCATTCTTGTGAAACATATGCCATTCTTTTTGTGCCTATGCATATATATATACGCACAAAAAGTCGTCTTTGTATTCTTTGTACTTTTTGTGTTGAATACAGAATCACACAATCTTTGTATAGAAAATACATAAAAAGAGGGCGCTCAATCATAATCGATAGTTGACGCTACTATATAATATTTTCTTTGACAATATATATTTACATAATTATGAAACATAATTTCATTAATTATGTATGATTAATAAAATAACTGAAAGATAGTACAATTGATTTTTAACAATTATATGAATCATTCTTATGATTATCTTTTACATTTACTATTATCTTAGTTATATATGTTAAATTTATCATAAATTTTTAAATATTTTCATCTGAAGATCAATTTGATTGATGGACATATTCAAAATATTTCGAGGAGCAAAAAAATCCAAATAAATTTTTTAGAAATAAAACAAATCTATTAAATAAATTTTTTAGAATTATAAAATTCTTATTCGAAATATTAATGCATTTGGATCAGAGATGAGCATAGAACAACCTTTTCTGTCTTGTCTTGTTAACATTTTTAGTTTTGTTAGACGACAGTACAACCCAGTGAAAAATATTCATGAAAAAAACAGTAGTGTCAAACTTGAAACTTGAATTCAATTGAGTTTTCAATTTTCAAGTTTCAAGTTTCAAGTTTCAACTTTCAACTTTCAAGTTTCCACTTTCAATGAAAATATAAACATTTTGGAGATATTGATTCACTAGTGCAGATAATCTTTATATAGTGATTGACTTTGAATGCTGATCCATTCAGATATATATTCATTCAACTTATCAACCCTTGCTCGACAAAATTCAAAAAATAAATAACTGTTTACTATGTCTCCTACATGTCTGGAAAGGACTGGCTGCAAAAGGACTGATCACGACGGGACTGATGGAGAAATGAGTGGCCAGTCCTTTCGCGGCACCCACAGCAGCTGCGATGTGATGTGTGTCGTAGTGTGGCCAGTCCTTTCGCGGCACCCACAGCAGCTGCGATGTAATGTATGTCGTAGCGTGGCCAGTCCTTTCGCGGCACCCACAGCAGCTGCGACGTGATGTATGTCGTAGTGTGGCCACTTCGCGATCAGTCCTTTCCAGACATGTAGGAGATATAGTAAACAGTTATTTATTTTTTGAATTTTGTCGAGCAAGGGTTGATAAGTTGAATGAATATATATCTGAATGGATCAGCATTCAAAGTCAATCACTATATAAAGATTATCTGCACTAGTGAATCAATATCTCCAAAATGTTTATATTTTCATTGAAAGTTGAAAGTTGAATTGAATTCAAGTTTCAAGTTTTACATATATGGACATAGTCATTGATAAAAGTACTTATGGATACTTCACTAATTATCAATGTTTCAGAAACATTTAAATATGTTATTTAATACTGATCATTCGATAAATATTGTTCATTACAATAGCATTGTTTTCGAAGGTGAAACTAGTCTTTGATAAAACGATCCATTATACTCCTAAATCATATATCTGGAAAAAAAAATGTTTTTTTTATTAAAGAAGCTAAAAGTGAGAAAAACAACTCAAAAGGATCAATTTTTATATATCAGTTAATTAGTTGTCTTAAAATTTACAATTCGTTTTGTTTGGGAAATTTTGACTGTAGTCACACGTTCTCACTGTTTTTTGTCAATATATAATGCATGTCTCGCTCCATTCGTAATATTTCTCGATGATCAATGTTGTCAAATGCAACGTTGTTTTTATTTATGCTTAACATACAAAGTTACAAATACGACTCGCCAATTGAGTGGAAATCGATTAGAACTATTCGATTGAGTTTTTTTACAAATAAATATAATATATTATTACTCTGTTCTGTCTTCTATTGTTTTGAATTTGTTATTTGGCAAAATTATTTAACAAAGATTTAGACTATCAAATGGTTAGTGACTTTTTTGATAAATATATTAAGAATTTTAATTTACTATAACGAAAATAATAACATATAAAATAGTAAGGGAAACGAAAATGCAAAATAGCTTAACTTAGTTATATATCTCGTTGTTATCGAAAAAAAATGAAGCACCGATGAATTTGTAATCATGATAAATTAAAGAATAAGAAGTAAATGAATGTGCAGTGGGTAATTATTTGATGTTTTTGATATTCCAGCGTGCTTCTTTTTCATAAAATAATAATAAAAACCATCTAAAATAAGCTCAGAAATAATTACAAAGGCAACGGTAATACCAGTTATAAACATTAATAGATTTTTGTTTGTTATTACTAAATAGTGGAATTCAAACTTATAATAAATTCGGACAATTTATTTAAATGAACATTTTGTATCGATAGTCTGCCTGAGTACTATAGCGTTATCAACGATTAAACGAATGATCTTCATACAAGGAGAAAACAACATACTCCTATATTCTCTGAAGTACAATGGCAGTACGAGAGTACAGTGGAAGTAAAAAACTACAGTAAGAACGCAGTGAAAGCACGTGGAATATAGTAAACCTATAGAACTTAGTTTTTTCTGATGAATTATAAAACCAGAGAGAGATTCGACACCAGGACTTAGAGTCGATCTTCTGTAATCATGCAAATGAATAAAATAAAAACACTGATATACATAGATAACATGCGGAAATGATTCATTCTCAAAATGGATAGAATTTTCTTGTCAAGCCAAATTTAAATACATGGCTTATATATATATACTGTAAAGAAAGGATGACGTGACCTCTCGTGTTTAAGCCCTAATAACAATGTATTTGGTGATTTTTCGTTGTAAGTTAGTTTAATTATGTATATGTTGGATCGAAGTTAATTCAAATCAACTAAATACCAAATAAATATTAATTAATTGATGATATTAAAAATAAAATCTATACTTAATAGTTAATGTTTCATGTTATAAAACATTTATTTTCTTACGAATAAACAGAAGAAATTATTTAGAAGATTAAGGTCCGTAACTAATGAAGGAGATTTCTAGAATACTATGCTCTGATTTAATCAACATTTTATCTTTATATTAATAGGAAAAATACTACATATGAAGACAAGTTAAACGCTTACTAGAGTCTGACACAAACTGAATCAAAGAAAAACTTCACTTAACTCGATTTTTGAATCTGTGACCTTGAAATACAAATAGCGAGATGTTATAAAGATTTTGTTTTTTGAGATTTATTATTTATATTCAAATACTCGGATCGATCTGTTGCAGTATATGACACATTTTGACTGCACTAGAAAAAAACCCACACTCTAGAAGATCCGTTCTACATCCTGAACTAGGCTTTTCGCCATAATCTTGCCTTTGGTTTTATTTCCAGCTATGTGCTTCATTGAGAGTTGTTCCAGAGTTGTAACCGGTCCGATCTGACCAATTTTTATCGATTGGAAAATATTGTATCGCTATGCTATTTTTCTCTGATAAAACTTATTGAGAGAAAACTTGCTTACTCTTATTAAAATAATCAAATAATGTTATTTCAAGAACTATTAGTTTTATTTTCTTCTGTTTATCTACACTGTTTTATTTCTTTGATCGAAGTATATTTCATTTTTTTGAAAAACATAATCAAAACTGTGTTACTTGAACTAAACTTTTATCATATATGTTTTGGTAATGATCAAATTTAGGTTTGAATCGTCTTTTGAAGAAAAATAATAGATTTGTCTCAAAAGGCTGAGTGAGTAAATTCAAGATTTGAAGTTTACCAATTAGTTGGTGGGTAAATGACTCTTTTCTCGCTATATATAGAAATATCACATATTCAGCTTTGGGAATCTAACAGATATAAACGACTATAACATAATATATCTTCCTGGAGATTTGTAAAAACCTGAGTGCAAAAAGGAAAATGAATGTTTTTTGAAACCATACCAATTAATCGATTAATAATGATCCAACCAACGAGTTAGGTTTTATCAATCTAAAAGATTTTTTGGACCGATCGAGTCAGATAAGTTCAAAAATTCTCAATCGGTTTCAATTCTCCGTTATTCTAATTATATGTTTATATGCTAATCTACGATGCAAAAGTAATTATCACAATCACAACCCATAGTTATCCGCTCAGAAACATCGTAGGGAGTTTAGTCTTTTTCGAGTGGCAGGAGTAAAGACTGAGCTTTAAAAAGCATACGAAAAAAAGTTTTTTTGTGATTAACCTTGAATGAAAACAAAGTTTGATACCAAACGTTAATCTATACTAACATTTTTAAACTCTAAATAATAAATTTTTTTCAATGTCCAATCTGTTCCATGTAGATTAATACTTTCTATTATAGCAAAGCTTTATTCATAATCAAAAAATTTCTGAAAAACTTTCTAAAGTATGAAAATCAATAAAGTTTTGTGAGAATTACTTTCTCACCTATTTTGTTCTTAAGAAAAATTTTTTCTTTATAGAATTTAGAAAAAATATAAGGAAAACAGTATGTTGCGAAAGCTCTTTTAGCAATATTTCACACCGAATTTGTTTCTCACTCAAAGTTCATTTTAGAAAGATTTTTTTGTATGTTTTTTGAAGTTCAGACTATGCTCTTTCAATAGGAAAAAAAACAACTTTCTATGATGTTCGTAAGCAGAGAATTATGAGTCGAGATTTTGAGGGAACTCGACAGTTGCTCGTTAGGATACTTGCTCGCGAGTGTGAGTATGGGTGTTGGGGATATGGGAAGTATTAGTGTGGGCCTTTTCTTCACCCACACCCACAACTAAATCCAAATCCACCTAAATTGTTATTGCATCGTAGATTATTTAAATCAGAGCATAATATTCTAGAAATCTCATATATTAGTTGTAGACCTTAATGTCATTTGAATCGATCTACAATCATATAAAGCATTAACAAAAATGAATATTTGATTCTTCTAAATAATTTCTTCTATATTTATTAGTTAAAAAAATAATATAAATATTTTGTAAAATGAAAAATTAACTATTAAGTATATATTTTGTTTTTAATATCATCACTTAATTCTTTATCCTCTGTCGGTTATAGAAATGACCATTTATAGAATGGTTACAGAAAATGGAATTTGAAAATGATGAGAATAGGTTTCGTAGTAAAATTCATAGGTTATCGATTGACAAAAAAAGAATGTTTTTTTTTTCATTGCACCATCTTTGAAACGCCCGGCCTAAAGAATCGATAAACTTGGAAAACTAAAAAAACCCTCAATTCATGAGAAGTTGAACTAGTATTTATTATAAATGCTTATTTAACAACGTGTTCAAAATACATGTATTCTTTTGACATTAATTTTTATCGGTTCACTACTTCCTTTTTTCTATTACTTCAATAACATCGAATAAGTGTTACTGTTGCTGACTCAATAATGTAAGCAAAGAAAAAATATCAAGACTTAATATGCCGTCCAGTCTTTTTTTTTTACCACATGGTCACCAAATCAATTAAACAGTCCTAGAAAAAAAAAGATGGACGCTCGGTAGATCAGACCACACCATTGACATATTAGGTAGGCTAATATTCTATTTATAAAGTCATTTTATTAGTGGCTCTTCTCAAACTGCTGTCGGAAATAAAGAATTAATCGATATATTTTTTTCATGTTTAGCTGAATTGAAATAATTTCGATACGAAATATATATGCGTACCTATTTACTATCGCGCAATAATCAATTAACATTCATGTCTATTTATCTATTCTAACTAATTTTTTTTTTGAGTAACAAGTAGTTCGACTGATTCAGTATTTACCTTCAAGCACTATTCAGAGATTTCCAGTATCAGTTTATACGCATTCGTGAAATCTTTGATTTAATTATAAGAAATCAAATATCTTTTTAAATGAATAACATTGCAAAAAATGGAAAGAAGTGACTTTTACTTGAACAGTTTATTTTATTTCGGATAATAAATAATTATTAACGTATATAACTAGTTACAAAAGAAAAAGTGCTATCGATCTTTGTTCAACAATTTTTAAATAGTTGAAAAGAATATTCGAAATTAGAGCTCAGATCAAACTTAGATAATGACTTTTCCGTTGTCTGTTCCTATTTGTTCGATTTCTTTGAATCAAAAGGAATGCTAGCAAAGATTGATGATGATTTAGTTCTATACTTTCATGTTCCTATTAGTTTTGATGTTACCTTTTCTTTTGATGTTGTTACTTTAGATGTAGTAGTAGGGTTTTTTTGGATAATTATTTTTCCATTTTGCTGTTGACTTGAATGGAGAGATTGAATTTGATGGTGGTTTATTAACATCTAGTTTTAGAAATATTTCATTAATTTATCCATTTTATTTTAAACTGATATTTTAAAAATCGTTTCTATTTGTTCTAATTTTACTTTTATTGATAAATCAAATCCTTATATTCACTTCTTGGAAATTCTTTATGTTAATAAAACAAACAAACAAACAATTGATTTACCGTTAAAAGTAGTTTCGACTTCTTTCACTCTGATTTCATACATTCCTTTATATTGTGAGCTGGGTTTTTTGCTAATAACCTTGACTCTTGTACCCGGTAATAAAATTGATTCAGCTTCACCAGGAAAGTTGGAAAAAACTGATATATCTCTTGCTGAATAAGATAACACTGAATAAAGAACACCACTGTACTGTCCCATATAATTGGGTTTTGCAAATCCAAGACATACTGATGGTAATGCAGATAACGATGTGACGCCCCACTAATAAGTAGATAAAAACAAACTAGATTAGTATATATTAATGAATAAAAAGAAAAATATTTTCTTTCTGTGTTTATCGTTTCAATTTGGATATATAACATTCGATTATCTTTTATAAATTACAATCAATTTTTGTTTTATTCATTAAAATAAAGATTTTCAATTACTTTACGTACCCAAGTCACAATAGAACCGACTTGATATTTACTACTTTGGTCAATATTTTCTCCACGACAATATTCTCCTGTCTTTGGTTTCAATTTGTTAATAGCCATGTGAAAAAGTTTCAAATAAGAAAACCAAGGTCGAATATTCTTGAGTTGTTCACTACGAAGTGCTTGATTGAGAAGTGTATAAACGTCGCATTGAGCCGTATATGCTTTTATTGCAGCAACTTCCTCCTTTACCAATCCATTTTTTGGACTAGATGCATGTATAGCAGAAGTAAGACAAGATGGCATAAATTTTGCGAATTTTGGTACACGTCGAAATGCTTTTATGATAGGAAGAGTTGGAACTTGCATATAAGTTGATCGAAGATTCGCAGGAGTCAATTGCTGACATACCGTCTATGAATATGATAAAATTTTTTTTTTTGTTTACCATTCATTGTCAAAAAAAATACATATAAGAATAATCAATGTATCTATATATTATTTGTAAAAAAAGCATTCTACTATCATTTAACTATTTTGGCTTTCATTGCATATTATGATTAACAAGTTCTAAAAGTTTCTCTTATCATAGATGAATGAATAGCTGATTTATCTCAAGCAGTATTTAAAGATTTTCAGCACTATTTGATAAACATTCGTAACGCAATCCACGAGTCTTTAATAAATCGAGTAGCTATTCTTTTTCTCTGAATAAATTATGGCATCTTTATATAGTTCTAAAATTACAACAAGGTTGAATATTTTTTCAAACTTGAATGAAGTGAGTAACGAGTGAAACTTCCCAGGTGCTAAAAGTCTTTTGAATTGAAATTTTGTCCAAAAGTAGGGAATGTGTAGACTAGAAAGATCCTAAGAGGATATGAGCGCAAGCTGTGGTTTGGCTTAGATGCTGACAGTTTACTATAATTTTTCTGCAGGATCTCACTTTCGTGGTAGAATCAAGATTTCGAATTTTGATCTGAAACCTTGCCCATACTGGGGTTTCAATCAGAGAAGCTTGCCTACAAAGTTTCAAAATTTTTGTACAAATCATCTTCAAGATATGTATTTTTCAAAATATCCATAAAAAAAATCTTTACACTAACATATTAGTATATTGAAGATAACTCATCCAACAACTCTGAAAGTTTATAAGTAGACTCATCTGAATGAAGCCTTGATGAGAACCAAGTTTCAGATCAAAATTCGAAACTTTGATTGTACAACGAAAGTGAGACTCTGTAGGAGAATTATAGTAAATTGTCAATATCTAACTCAAACGACAGCTTGCGTTCATATCATCTTAGGCTCTTTCTAGCCTATACATCTTCTACTTGTGTATAAAATTTCAGTTCAAAAGATTTTTAGCACATGGATAGGTTCCCTCTTGAATGTAAAAGATTCTACCCGAAAAATTCAGTTCATTTATTGAAAGTTATTAATTATTTAATGCATCTGCTTAGTCACAGGAAAAAACTCAATCATTCTTTGTATATCTGAAAAAACTGAAGGAGATTATATTTGAAGACAAATATTAACTAGCGCTAAAAATATTTAAACAGCGCTAATATCTTTTTAAATAGCTGAAAAGAAAATCTAGAATATTTAATGTAAATAAAAACATGAAATAGCGGGAAAATGGTTTAAATAGAAAAATGACATTTTAAAGTAGATCTTCTATTGTACATAAATTTTATTCATTTATTACATTATGATTGTCGGTTAATGCAGAGCCGTATCAACAGTTACTTCATAGACTTTATGATGGCATAAATAAAAATGATACAAGACGTCGCAGACAAATAGGAGAATAGCTCATAACATAGATAAATTATAAAATAATCGAAGACTTGCAATAAATATGAAAAAAACATTCCCTAAGATTTCTATTAAAGTCTATTAATATAGATACTCTCAAGGGACGCTTCCTTGTGATATGATTTTTCTCACTTTGAAACATACTAAGAGACAATTTTGATATATGCCCAATTTATGATAACATTTCTACTAATTCAATAGAATCCTTCAATTCAAAATTACGATAAGTCTTAACCATGGAAATAATTTCAGCCTTAACTCTATGCCTACTATAGTTGATCAGTCGTTTTTATTATGTTACATTATGCAAGTATTATTTCTTTGACTCAGTATAATAATAATCTCGAAATGGAATCATTTTACCTTGAGAGTAAACCATTCGACAATGTAGAATAATATAAGGAGCATTGTAGAACCAAAGGTGAATCAATTTGTGTAAACTGACAAATAATTATGATTGATTCGAAACTTAATTCAATGATAAAAAAGCACAGTATATTTAACTTATATGATATATTACTAAATATGATACCCGCTTTTTGCTATAGATACATTATAATTTTAAATGTTGCGATAGATTGAAAATATAATTGTGCGAAATAATGTTTGCTATTTCAATATATGAAGATAGAAGTAAAATTTAATCAGATACGAACATCAAATGTAGCAAAATAATCAGATCGTAATAGATGAGATAAAAATATTCATGAGAAACATGACTATGTCGTTAAAGAACGATTATTTACTATTCGTAAGAATAAAATTGTCTAAAGAGTTATCATTATTATTTCTGATTACTCTAAAATAGAATATTATACCAACAATAAACATTATAATATGAATTTGTCATATTTTTCACTAATGAATATCATCAGTAATAATTAATTATGATGAAAATGAATTAATCTAATCAAGAAATTAATAAGTATATTTAATTAAGATTAAAATACATTATTGTCGAAGGAAATAGACAAAAGTTTTGATTGACATATTGTGTTTGATAGTTTTACGATAACACTTAGAATAGAATTCCATTATAGCAAGCAACTTTATGCATAAATTAAAATCAATTAGATATTCAATACTTTTATTCGAAAATTCATTTTGAACCAATTTTCATCGAATATTATCTAAGTAGTATGACGTGATGTGATGAATACATTGTCAGTGTATATTAATGATCTATGATAACATAATGGTCCATTACGTTATTATTATTGAAGCTGTCAGGTTTAGTCAAAATGCAAATATACAAAAAAAAAACTAAAGATAATTTGAAGATCCAATCAAGAATTTCATACAGTGTGCAGAATTTCATTGTATATCAGATTACAACGTACAACATATTGATGAAGTATATGAATTCGTTGTTCTTATTCACACCTATACGAGAGATCAAGATGTTCTAGATCACGACTTTATATTAAATAAAATAATTAAATTTACTTTATATGATCGGTATTTTTAGTAACATAGTAGAATTTCATTTAACTTACAGCTGTTTTCAAAAGAAAAAAAATATCATTTTGAAGTCTTCATTCTTAGATCACATATTATTATCGAATATTTTGTGAAATGATAAAAATTAAATTAAATCATCAATTATTTTGTGTAATCAGATCGACAATAGATGAGAATTGTCTTTACAAACTATTTAGCCCAAATAGCAATCTAGAACAGAAGTTTGAATTTTATTTCTTTTTCCTTTTTTTTGTTATTTCAAATCTTTATTTATACGAATTTTATTGATCTTAACAACAAAATCAAAACTATTCTATCTTCTTTTAAATAATATTCTGAATAGTAATATTTCTATCTATACCTATAATTTTGTTTTTAGGCTTTTTTTTGAAAGTCACGAAATGTGTCACTAAATAGATGATTCTTTAACTGCATAGTTGCAGAACTCGCATAGTCGAATTTGTTAGTTTTTGTTGTTTTTCAAAACTTATAAAACTTGTTCAGAGATACTCATATTATAGATCATTTTTAATGAAAAGTTAATTGGATGTTTTGTTTTAAATGGAATAGTTCTTCTTTGTTTTTTGAGATTTTCTAATATTTATGAGTAAAGTTAAGTTTCTTAACCTAAATCAACGTTTCATTTGATCCCTTTCGAATATAATCGAAGCCGAAGCCGCTCTCACCGCTAAAAAAAAGTCAATTTTGTCACGAAAAAATCGAGTGTACGAGAAATGCACGTAAAAATAGTCTGAGATCTAATATTTCATAATCTACGCCAACTGGCGCAGAAACAGTTGTGTCTACTGGTGGGTAAAGAATATTTACCGAACCGGATCGATCGTTTAACGTTACCACTTGTTACACTGCTATGGAGGTATATTTTAAAAGGGAAACCGTTGTTTTTTTTGTTATAGAAATTTTGACTTTAGCAAATTTCATCTATTCAACTTTCAAAAATATTCGAATTTGATTTACTGTAAAGGATAGAAATGTAAATAATAAAAGAAAGAAAAAGTCATGGTCACGTTCCATATTTTTTGTTAACGATATTTCTTCGTCTAACACTTATCAGATTTGTACTTCACTCATTCAAATGTCCTGTTTGAAAGTCATGATTTAGTGTAAGAAAGAGTGTATTTTTTTGACTATAAATTTCGTATTTCTCTGTTTTTTTTGTCCAATTCAAAATAAAAATAAAAAAATTCCTTCTTGGAAAAAATGATCCGAACGATCGCGATCGCAATCGCAATGCTGTTTCTCTTCATCTACTTCCCAGCAGTATAAATCAAAATTCAAAGACGAAAGAAACAGAACGTTGTTTCTGACGGCCCACGTTTGTTTCGATCGTCATTCGATAAGTGACTCAAATCATCCACATAAAGCAAATACAACATGATCATACAAATGTTTTTAGTAGGATGGAGGAAGCATATATAAGTATAGTAAAGACCTTTATCAAAGTGGTGTAAATAAAAACTTGAAAACGTTGGCAACAGAAAGACAAAAATACTTAAAAGAAAAATCAATTGGGTGTGATTAATTGATACACAGTAAAATAAAATGTATCGCATTTATGTGTCTCTGGTTATAGTATCGCAGACTCTACTACGAAAATATATTCCAGACAGCATGTGTTGTATTACGAATGTGTCGTGGTTTGTCTATTTACTATTCATGCACCATTTTCAAGACTATTTATCGATTAGTTATTGATCGAGAACATGCTGAGAGATCCATTGACGATTGTGAAAGGAGTGCTTTGAAACAGTATGATCGAGATTAAACAAACTTGAGATGGTTAGATCTCAAGAACTGATCAACTTGAGTTTCAAGAATCGATATTGCTAATTCGAATAAAACTGGAGAAACAGTAATTATTCGCTTGGGTAGAAAAACGACACATGCGCTAAAGAATGGATTTGAACTATATTTTCGAAACGTGTCGCACCGTTGTTAAACAAAATGTTTCACAATAAGCACCTCATGTCGCGCTCTAATGTGTCGTACATTGTGTCACAAGTTACGAGGCATGCGACACATTTTATTCTAGTGTATAAGTTTAATATGATTCATTTCAGATTTTTATATTTGATCAATTGAATCATTCAAAATGACACAATTTGGTCAGATTCTGCGATACTCTATAGTAGTTTTACTTAGTATCATCAGATCTAGTCATCAAACTGTTTATACATGTACGGCAAGTGCATCATGTGGTTGTTCAACGAATTCTGCAACAGTAGGTCGTATTGTTGGTGGAGAAACTGCAAGTTCAGCTACATGGAGTTGGACTGTCTCAATCTCTATTGCTGGTAGTTCTCTTTGTGGTGGATCAATCATATCAAGTTCATGGATTATCACAGCAGCACATTGTGTAAACAATCGAATACCATCACAAATTACTATTTATGCTGGATCAATTACTCGATTGTCGGGAACTCAAATTCGAAGTGTATCAAAGATTGTTGTACATTCTAGCTATAGCTCGACCACCTATGTGAATGATATTGCTCTATTGAAACTTGCCTCTCCATTGATAATGACTGATCCTTATGTGAGTGCAATTTGTTTA